ATTTAGAAAAATTTAATGTGGTTTGCGATTTAGTTAATCTCCCTCAAGTTACACTAGAAATTATTAAGATGAAAGACCTTATCATGTGATTTGTGGTTTAGGGACAAAGCTAATCATTGGCTATCCACATTAGATAGAGAATTAACTAGCTAGAAAGATATAGAATAAGCTTTTCTTCAAAAATTTTATCCTTTAGGAAAAACTCAAAATATGAAAAAACATATATGGAGTTTTTCTCAAAGATCAAGAGAAACTTTACATGAGATATGGGAAAAATTCAAAGATTTACTTAGAAAATGTCCTCATCATTCTATACCCAAGTGGCAGCTCAATAAAAAATTTTAGGATGGATTATTAGAACAACATAGAAATATGGTTGATTCTATATATGGTGAAGCTTTTATGGAGAAAACTTCTAATGAGATTTACAGTCTTTATGGTTGATTCTAAAGATCAAGCCTCTTTTGAATTATATGATAGGGATAAGAAGAGAGAAATTTATGAATTACATCATGATGATGATTCTAATTTCAGAAATGAAGTTAATCAGATTAATCAATCTAATCATAATTTCAGGTTAATTTAAGAAAACATATTTCAGGTGAGGAAATATCAATTAATTTGAGAGATGTAAGAGACGAAATTAATAAATCTAATCATAATTTTGCAGCCATCGATGTTGATAGTGAGGATGATGATGTATATCATATACCAAAATTAGGAGATAGCTCTTGGGAAGATGAAGAATTTGATTAGTTGAGAAACAAAAAGCTAGAAAAAGAGTTGATTCAATTAATGGAGAGAAACGAAAATAATGAATATGAATATAGAGATAATTTTGGAGGAGAAAATTTAAATTTTACTAAATTCATTAGATCTGAGATTAAAGAAGACAATCCTTATATCCTTCAAAACCCATAGCCCATTAGAATTATTTTTAAGCTTAAAATATTTCACTCCTTGCAAATTGAACAAATATATATGAAAGATAAAATGAAGCAGGGGAAGATTATGTAGATAAAAGAACACTTAAAAAATAGGTGAGTGGAAGAATTAGAGATATCAATTTACATGAAAAAGTTGTAGATTGGGTAAGAGCTAATTTGAAAATTATATGGCTTGATCACATTTTATGATCTATTAATAGAAAGTATTTATCAATGAATGAGAGCCTTACAAAACAAGATAGAAATGAGAAAAGATTCTTTTCAAAATGGAAATATTATTTTTGGGAAAATTTTGTTAATTTCCATTTTGTTTTGGCTGAAAGTATGTCAAGGTATACATATGAGGTATATGAATCTATGCTAAATATGGAAAAAATATCATGAAACTTACCTTGGGATAGAAATATATTTTGATGGTCATAGATCATCTTATATGATCTAAGAGCTGTCCAACTGAAGACACTAAATTCACAGCTACATGGGAGGCAACCCATGATTTTTATTTCATTCTCTTTGATTTTTTTTAAGCTCTATTTTTCTTAGAATTTTGCAATACTTCTTTCTACATTTGTTTCTTTTCGAAAGAGTGTAGGAGTGTAAGATGAGGTGGAAAATTAACAATGAGGTTGAGGTGATGTCTTTTTGAGCTTTATCATTTATGACAATATTTATAATGCTTAACTTTGCATATATGCATGCTTTACTTGAAAATTATATTTTCTGCATATTCTATTTCAATTTTTCTGTCATTGAGGACAATGTAATTTTTAAGTTTGGGGATGAAGTATTAATTCTTAATTTATGCTGTAGGACGATTAAGAACATGTGTTTGCATTTTCTTTTCATGCGCACTTAGAACAGCAACTTAAAAAAAAAAAAAAAAACTACAACATCTATTTTCTGATTTTTTATCAAGAACAATAGACTATCAAAAATAGTAGACAAAAAATGGCCTGAAATTTTAAATTCTAAAGACCCTTTTCTCACATTTTAATCCACTAGACATATATTAATGAAAATTGAAATTACAACTATAAAGAAGATAGTTTTGATTTATTTTTGACAAATTTATTGTTGCTAAAAATAGAATTGAAAATAGAAAATAGAACTATCAGAATTATATAATTTATAAATTTCTTACATCATATTGCATACATGAAAAATTAAATCAATTAGATTGATTGATACCAAAAGATGCTAGGAAGATTAGTATTGAGTCAAAAGAATGATCTAGTAGTATAAAATGTTGGAATACTCCTTGGATACATGATAGATAACATGAATTTGATTTTACAGATTTTTACTTTATGATCTTGATAGATAGTATTTACTTGATGTGAAAATTTGATTAATCATTTGAGTTTAATGGAGATTTTTGCACCTTGATCTATAGGACTTGTGAGGAGAAATCACTTATTTCGAAAAAAGAAGAGAGAATAATGTGAAAAATCTAAAAATGAAGAGTACACATATAAGGTGTAAGACATCATTCTTATTGTCGAAATTGATCTACAAGAAAAGTTACTTATCCACTATTTGATGTGACTTAGTCATTTTATACTAAATCACATAAATTTAAAATTTATAAAACTAAAAAATACTAATTTTTAAATATTTAGAAATATTTATGAACAAATATATCAATTATAATTCAATAAAACTTCCACAAATAGTGGTAATTTTTTCAATAGATCATAAAGATGTAATATAATATTGGGTAATTATTTAGAATTTTTCTCAAAGAATACTATTTTTTATGAATTTTATAATAGGAAATGAAAAAGAAATATATTTAAAATTTATGAAAAAGGGAAATAAGGGTGCAGATGTCAAGATGGTGTCAGCACTCGGCAAACGTGAATTAGGTAGAAATAGAGTTCTGCCCCATGATCCTTACGTAAGTGATTATAGACGATTTAATTGATCAAATTAAGATTTATAAAAGTTAGAAGAATCATAATTTTTATATTCTTATTTTTGAGATAAATGAAGAAAAAGAAATAAAAATAAAAATATAGCAAAATGGGGGATACATGCCGACCAGCCAGGCCCACAAGTGGGTTAGAAGTGTAGTTGGAGAGGAGCCGCAAGCAAAGGCTCAAGTGGCTAGGATCAATAGGGGCACGTGTGCACCACTCCTCTTCCATGTCCACTCCTCTTCCATGTCACTAGTGGTCAGCCGGTTGTGGGCAAGGAGTGGTCGTACATGTAGGAGAAAGGGACTTATGACCTAAAAATATAATATTAGCATATATTCACTTGAAACCTTGGTGCACAAGTGATGTGGTACTAAACCTACATCACACTTTCCCTAGAAAGACTTTGATGATTTTAATACCTAAAATATCCTATATTTATAATAGAGAACTACCATGATGACATCACTTGATAAGGGTATTAGAGTAATTATTTCAATCTCTCTCTCATGCAAGCAAGCAATTAGCATGGGTTTGAATCCTCCTAGAGCTAAAACTCATATTTTTATCTAGCTGTCACTACTTTCTTGTAGATCTCTAGTGAAGGATTAAGGTACCAAAATCACTAGATCATCGGCAAAAATCTCATCAATGCGATTTACAGAACATTGTTACTAAAATTGCTAAAGGATTCACAATAAAAGGATCGTGAATCCATCAAGTAAATCATCTTCAATTGATCGACGAACAAGTTGTCATCGGGAAGAGGATGCTCTACCGAGAGATGAGTTGCCACCTCTTAAGAGCATACTAGATGCAATGAAGAGCCTCTTCTTGCTATGTAGACCTAAGGATGAAGCTCCTAATAAGTCTTCATTATCATGAGTTAATAATTAGTAAATAATATAGTTTTAGCCTTAACTCTTGATAAATAGACTTATATTTGTGTTAAAGTGTGGAAAGTGGTTTTCAGTTGATTAATGTGAATTTTTGAGTAATTATGTGATTTTACACAAATTTATATGATTTTTAAAGTCTTGCTTTTGAGATAAATGAAGAAAAAGAAATAAAAAATAAAAATAAGATAAAATAAGGGGGACCCACCAGCTAGCTGGCCGCAAGTGGGTCGAAAGCTTAGTTGGAGAGTAGCTGCGAGTAGGGGCTCGAGTGGCTTGGATTGATAGGGGCATGTGTGCGCCACTCCCCTTCCACGTCACTGGTGGCCAACCGGTTGTGGGGCAAGGAGTGGTCGTACACGTGAGAGAAGGGACTTGCTAACAAATATAACATTAGTATATATTCGCCTAAAAAATCAGTGCACAATTGATGTGGGACTAAACCTGTGTCACCTTCCCTAGAAAGGGCAGGCAACCGGCATGGGTTCGAATCCTCCTAGAGTCAAAAATTATATATTTTTATTTAATTATCGTGACTTTTTTGTAGATCGCCGGTGAAGGATTAAGCGACCAGAATTGCTAGATCATCGACAAAAATCTCGTCAACGTGATTTGCAAAGTGATAAGTCTTCATTATCATGAGTTAATAATTAGTAAATAATATAGTTTTAGCCTTAACTCATGACAAATAGACATATTTGTGTTAAAGTATGATTTGTGGTTCTCAGTTGATTAACGTGAATTTTGGGTAATTATGTGATTTTATATGATTTTTATAGTCTTACTTTTGAGATAAATGAAGAATAAAAAATAAAAATATTACAAAAAAGGGGGACCTACTGGCCAGCCAAGCCCGCAAGCGGGTTGGAAGCACAGTCGGGGAGTAGCCACAAGTAAGGGCTCGAGCAGCTTGACTTGGACCGATAGGGGCACGTGTGCGCCACTCCCCTTCCACGTCACCAGTGGCCAGTTGGCTGTGGGGCAAGTAGTGGTCATACACGCGAGAGTAGTGACTTTGCTTATAAAGCTAACATTATTATATATTCACCCAAAAAATCAGTGCACAACCGATGTGGGACTAAATCCGTGTCACACCTTCTTCAGAGGCGGGCGACCGGCAAGTGTTCAAATACTCCCAGAGTCAAAATTCATATATGTTTACCTGATTATCGTGACTTTCTTGTAGATCTCCGATGAAGGATTAAGCAACGAGAATCACTAGATCATCGGCGAAAATCTCGTCAACATGATTTGTGGAGCATTGCTACTAAAATTGCTGAACGATTCATGATAAAAGGATCACAATCCATCAAGTAAATCATCTCTGATTGATCGACGAACAAGCCGTCGTTGGGAAGAGGACGATCCACCGGTAGAAGAGTCGTCACCTCCTGAGAGCGTACTAGATGCGATGAAGAGCCTCCTCTTGCTGCGCGGACCTGAAGATGAAGCTCCCTGACACGTGCCCCACCTCCATCCAGCTCTTCTCTGTCGGGTGACAACCACCAGAGAGCCGCAAAGTCGTTGGTTTTCCACTCCGCCGAGTGACAGCCGTCGGAGACGATTTGACGACCCACTTCATTGATCTCTAGACTTCGCGAGAAGATCTAGAGATTGCCCATGTCGTCTTTGTCCAACGAGAGCCTTTGAGGCCGTGGACACTGCACGACGATCCTCCCAAATGCTCAAGATTCCGGTGCATTGCTAATGCATCACCATCGCGATGCTAGAACTCTATTTTCCTACTTTCAATTTACTTTATGCTTCATTTAGTGATAATTTTTTGTATTTTTTAGTTACCAAAATATACTTTGTTCAATTACGATTCTTCCGGCTTTTACAAATCTTAATTTGATTAATTAAATCATCTGTAATCACTTACGCAAGAATCATCGGGCAGAACTCTATTTCTGCCCAATTCGTATCCACAGGGCACTGACGTCATCCTGACATCCGCACCCTTATTTCCCTTTTTTTTGTGAATTTTAAAGATAATTCCTTTTTATTTCCTAGTGTGAAATTCATAGAAAATTGTATTCATTGAGAAAAATTCTGAATAATTACCAAATATTATATTACATTCTTATGATCAACCTGGAAAATTGCCACTATTTTTGGAAGTTTTATTGAATTATAATTGATATATTTATTTATAAATACTTCTAAATATCTGAAAATTTATATTTTTCTAGTTTTATAAATTTTATATTTGTGTGATTTAATATACAACGACTAAGTCACGTAAAATTTTGGCACCATTGCTAGGGATGTATTGCATAATATTTAGTATTTTTCTATTTTTCTCTTAGAGTACACAAAAAAAATAAAAAATAAAATTAACTCTTATTTTATTTTCTTTTTGCCGATTTTTTTAGAAAAAGGGAACGAAAAGAAGCAAGGCAAGGACTAAAGCATCCTGAAGGAGGGTAATAGTTACTAACTTTTTCCTTCAAATTTATTGATTTTATGCATGGTAGAAGATCCTTGCATCCAAGGCTAGAAAATCCTTTTATTATTTCATTCAAAAATAAAAATCCGAAAGAAAAATTAATTTTGATGGATCCTGAAGGAAGTACAGGTCAAACTGAGAACAATCCTATGGCCATGAAAAATCATTATATCCCCGATTCATTTCAAAGATCATCTAATATTAGAGTCCAATTAGCACCTACTATTAAATTCGAAATAAATCTAGGAATTTTTCAAATGCTCCCTAATTTTCATGGATTGCCTTTAGAGGAACCTTATCAGCACAGAAAAATTTCATATGGTCTGTGATTTAATTAATCTCCCTCAAGTTATACCAGAAATTATTAAGATGAAATTATTCCCTCATACACTTAGGGACAAAGCTAGTTATTGGCTATCCACATTAGATAGAGAATTAACTAGCTAGAAAGATATAGAACAGGCGTTTCTTCAAAAAATTTATCCCTTAGGAAAAACTCAAAATATGAGAAAACATATATGGAGTTTTTCTCAAAGACTAGGAGAAACTTTGCATGAGACATGGGAAAAATTTAAAGATTTACTTAGAAAGTGTCCTCATCATGCTATACTCAAGTGGCAGCTCAATAAAAATTTTTATGATAGATTATTAGAACAACATAGAAATATGGTTGATTCTATATGTGGAGGAGCTTTTATGGAGAAAACTCCTAATGAGATTTATAGTCTTTATGAGAATTTAAGTGAAAATTCTAGAGATTAAGCCTTTTTTGAATTATATGACAGGGATAAGAAGAGAGGAATTTATGAATTACATCATGATGATGATTCTAAACTTAGAAATGAGGTTAATCAGATTAATCAAAAATTAAAAAAAATTGATTTACTTATTGACAATATTAGAAAGCCTTTTAACCCTCAACTTAATTCGAATAGTATATGTCCTATATATGGTGAAAATGATTATTCTAAATTTCAATGTTATAATTTAGATCAATCATTTCACCCTATGCAAGAACAAGTGCAAGTAGCTCACGGTTTTAATAGAAACACAGAACTTTTTTCAAATTCTTATAATCCTAATTGGAGGAATAATTTTTCATGGAGAGACCCAAATAATATTCAAAATCCAAAAGCACTTAGACCCAATTCAAACTCTAAATTTCATCTAACAAGAAAATAGATTTCAGAAAAATCAGCCCTCTCAAACCCAACCTGATACTATGGAAATGATGCAGCAAATGAATCAAATGATGCAACAAACTATAAATCAAATGATGCAGCACTAGAAACAAATTATAGAGGCCCTTGGGAATAAGAGAGAAGAGGGACAGCTACCTAGTCAACCCATAGAAAATCCAGGGAACTGTCCAACAATAGGATTTCAGTAAGGGGAGTCTAGTAGCATGAATCTAGGAAAAAACCCGCGAAATTAAAATGTTAGGACAGTGAATGCATTAAGGAGTGGTAAGATCTTACCTGATCCTTAATCCCCAAACATTAGAAGAAAAAGAAAACGTGAACAACTGAAAACAAAATCAAATAAGAGTAGAAGAGGATTTTATGGATTCTACCAAGGAAATTTCAAAAGAGAGGACAACCATTCCATTTCCTAAAGCTCTAGGGCCTAGACAAAGAAAGAAAAAGGAACACAATGAAGAAATAAAGGAAATTTTACAAGATGTGCAAATTAGTCTTCCTTTACTCACTACCATTGAACATATTCTTGAATATGCTAGAGTTTTGAAAGAAATGTGTACACCAAAAAGGGCACCTAGAGTAGAAAAATTATCTATGCATGCTAGTGCATTATTATTAAATCAATCACTATATAAATTGAGAGATATAAGTGCCCCTTTAATTTCATGTGATATTGGTGGATCCATTTTTTAGAATGTATTACTTGACACCAGTGCTAGTATTAATTTATTACCTGCAAGTATTTGTGATAAATTTAATATTTTTGATCTTAAACCTTCTACTGTTACCTTACAATTTACTGATAGATCCATAAAACATCCTAAAGATATTTAAGAAATGTGATAGTAATAGTTAAAGGGTGTAAATTTTCAGCTGATTTTGTAGTGTTGGAAATGGATTTTAATGGATAGTTTTATGATACACCAATCATCCTAGGGAGACCATTTTTGCATACAGCAAAGATGAATATTGATTTTTCCACATGTATTACGAAAATTTCATGTAGAGATCAATTAGTAGAAATTAAAATTTTTGAGGTAACAAATGATCTTAAGAAATCACAAGTATATGATTGTCATACCATAGATCTTCTAGATGATTTTGATGATCCAGATGTTATTGATGACTGTGTGTTGGAAGAATTAGAGGAAATAGAGAATATAAATTTGGGAGAAAAGAAAGAGGAAGATCATCTGAATTTAGAGTTGAAACTTCTTCCCTCTAGTTTAAAATATATGTTTTTGGAGGAAAATAATTTATTTCCTATTATTATTGCAGCTGATTTGAGTGATGAATAGGAAGAAGAATTATTAGATGTACTTCGAAAAAATAAGAAGGCTATGGGCTGAAAAATGGACAATCTAAGGGGTATTGATATGAGTGTATGCATGCATAGTATATATCTAGAAGAGAGGGCTAGAACTAGCAGGGAACCACAATGAAGATTAAATCCTAACATGATGGAAATTTTAAAAAAAAAAATTTAAAGTGGCTGGCTGCTGATATTATTTATCCTATTTCAGATAGCAAATGGGTTAGTCCTACACAAGTAGTGCCAAAAAAATCAAGGATCACGGTTATAAAAAACAAAAATGGGGATGAAATACAAACAAGATTAACTACTGGTTGGAGGGTTTGCATGGATTATAGAAAATTAAATTCAGTTACTGGAAAAGATCATTTTCCCCTACCATTTATTGATCAAATTTTAGAAAAATTAGCTGGAAAAAACTTTTTTTTTTCTGGATGGATACTCTAGTTATAATCAAATTTATATAAACCCTTTAGATCAAGAAAAAACAACTTTCAGTTGTCCATTTGGTACTTTTGCTTTTAAACGAATGCCTTTTGGTCTGTATAATGCTCCAGCCACATTTCAAAGATGCATGTTGTCGATTTTTTCTGATATGATTGGAAAATACATGGAAATTTTTAGGGATAATTTTTTTATTTTTGGTGAATCATTTGATGAATGCTTAAATCACTTACAGCATGTACTTGAGAAATGTATAGAGAAAAAAATAGTTTTGAGTTGGGAGAATCACATTTTATGGTTAAAGAGGGAGTTGTGTTGGGTCATATTGTGAGTGAAAGGGGTTTAGAGGTGGATAGAGCAAAAATTGATATTATATCTAGAATGAAATCTCCAAGTTCAATAAAACAGATTAGATCTTTCTTGGGTCATGATAGGTTATTACAAAAATTTATTCAAGATTTTTCAAAAATTTCTAAACCTCTCACCATGCTATTATCTAAAGATGTGCCTTTTAATTTTAATGAGAAATGTTTTGAGTCTTTTTCTGAAATAAAAAGATTACTTACTGAGGCACCCATTTTACAAGCTCCTGATTGGTCCCTTCCATTTGAAATAATGTGTGATGCATCGAATTATGCAGTGGGGACCGTTCTAGGACAAACAAAAGAGTCAAAACCCATAGTAATTTCATATGCTAGTAAAACTATATCCAATGCTCAATTAAATTATACCACGACTGAAAAAGAGTTGTTAGCTGTAGTATTTTTGTTAGAAAGGTTTAAATCATATATTTTGGGAGCTAAAATTATTATTTATACTGATCATGCAGCATTAAAATATCTATTAAATAAGAAAGATGCAAAACTACATTTATTAAGATAGATTTTATTGTTACAGGAATTTGACTTAGAAATAAGAGATAAAAAAGGTTTCGAAAATGTTGTTGCTGACCATCTTTCTAGATTAAGTGATATAGGAATAAATGCAGCACCTGTACAAGACGCATTTCTAGATGAACAATTGATGGCAGCTCAACATCAACCATCACCATGGTATGCACATATTGTTAATTTTCTAGTTTCTGGAAAAACTCCAGAATAGTGGGATAAGAACAGAAAACATCATTTCTTTTCTAAGATTAGAAATTATTTTTGGCATGATCCTGATTTATATTACTTGGACAATGATCAAATTTTAAGGAGATGTGTTCCTGAAGAAGAATATCATAGCATTATTAATATGTGCCATTCATCTAACTGTGGAGGACATTTCTCGACACAAAAAACAGCTGCAAAAATTTTTCAGTGTGGTTTTTATTGGCCTACAATCATTAGAGATTTTATAGAATTTAGTAGAACATGTATTTCATGCCAATCTATAGGTAACATGAGTAAAAAGATGAAATGCCCATGAGTAACATGTCAGTAGTCGAAATTTTTGATGTATGGGGAATAGATTTCATGGGTCCCTTCCCATCAGCTGAAAAATATGAATATATTTTGCTTGCTATTGATTATGTCTCAAAGTGAGTGGAAGCTATTCTTACTAGAACTAATGATCATAAAATCGTGATGAAATTTGTGCGGGAAAATATTTTTTCAAGATTTGGATGTCGTAGAGTGATTATTAGGGATGGAGGAACACATTTTACAAATAAACATTTTAGGGAAATATTGAAAAAGAATGGAGTACACCATAGAGTAGCCACTCCATATCATCCCCAAACAAATGGGCAAGTTGAAGTAGCAAATAAGGAAATTTAGAGAATTTGAGAAAAATAGTTAGACCAAATAGGAAAGATTGGCCCACGAAATTACAAGATATATTATGGGCTTATAGAACAGCTTATAAAAATCCCATAGGGATGTTCCCATTTCGTCTCATTTTTGGAAAGCCATGTCATCTTCCTGTGGAAATAGAGCATAAAGCATTATGGGCTATAAAAAATTTATGTATGGATGAAAAATCAGCTGGTGGGCATAGAATTTTTCAACTACATGAACTAGAGGAGTTGAGGAATGAAGCTTATGAAAATCATAGAATATATAAAGAAAAAACTAAAACTTTTCATGATAAATACATTAGTAGAAAAAAAATTAATGTTGGACAAAAAGTGTGGTTATATGATTCTAGGCTGAAATTAAAATCAAAAATGGAAAGGACCTTATGTGGTGGAAGAGACATATGATCATGGGGCTATAATGATTAGAGATCTTAAAAGTGATCATAACTTTAAGGTAAATGGACAGTGGCTTAAACATTACATAGAACATGAACGCCTTGTAGAAAAAGAAATTTTATTATTAAAAGAAATTCAAGAGTAAGATCAAGGAGTCCAGCTGGAGACATTAAATTCAGCACTATATGGAAGGCAACCCACAGTTTTTATTTCATTTTTTTTGATTTTTTTAAAATTCCGTTTTCCTTAGAATTTTGTAGTACTTGTTTCTGTATTTTTTTTTTTGAAAAAGTGTAAGAGGAGGAGTGTAAGATGAAGTAGAAAATTAAAAACAAGGTTGAAGTGATGTCTTTCTGAGCTTCATCATTTATGAAAATATTTTTAATGCTTAACTTTGCAGATATGCATGCTTCACTTGAAAATTATATTTTCTGCATATTTTCTTTCAATTTTTCTGTGTCATTGAGGACAATGTCATTTTTAAGTTGGGGGGTGATTAAGAACATGTGTTTACATTTTATTCAACTTAGAACAGCAACTAAAAACATAAAAATAAAATAAAATTCGGAAAAACTACAACATCTATTTTCTGGTTTTCTATTAGAGACAACACTCTCAAAAATAGCAAACAAAAAACAGCTTGAAATTTAAAATTCTAGAAGACCCTTTTCTCACATTTCAATCCCCTAGATGTATGTTACTAAAATTAGAAATTACAACTATAAAGAAGATAGTTTTGATTTCTTTTTGACAAATTTATTATTGCTAAAAATAGAACTAAAAATAGAAAATGAAACTATCAGAACTATCTAATTTACAAATTCCTTACATCATATTGCATGCATGAAAGTTTAAATCAATTAGATTGATTGATACCAAAAGATACTAGGAAGATTATTATTGAGTCAAAAGAATGATCTAGTTGCATGAAATGTTAGAATACTCCTTGGATACATGATAGATAACATGGATTTGATTTTACAGATTTTCACTTCATGATCTTGATGGATAGTATTTACTTGATGTGAAAATTTGATTGATCATTTGAGTTTAATGGAGATTTCTACACTCTGATCTATAGGACTTGTGAGGAGAAATTACTTATTTCGAAAAAAAAAAGAGAGAGCAATGTGAAAAATCTAGAAATGAAGAGTACACATGGAGGGTGTGAGACATCATTCTCATTGTCGAAAATCGTGCATAGAAAAACACTTGCTGAAAAATAAGTGGATAAAGTGAAAGCCCTGAAAATGAAAAGTACACATGGAGGATGTGAGACATCATTCTTATTATCAAAATTTGTCTACAAGAAAAGCTACTTATCTACTATATATAAAAAATTAAAAAAAAAGAAGGAAGAAATATAGTGCAAACTTCAAAAATCAAGTCATAGAAAAAGGGAAATGTAGGATCAATATTATTCTTGGATGAGTATTGATAATTGGACCATCTTGTAAATACATCTATGAGTGAAGAAGTGATAAAGATGTGAATAGAAGAAGTGAAGACTTAGATTGTTATTCCAAGGAGTGTTTAAATATTTAAGTGCTTGACATCATTCTTAAATACTTGATATAAGAATCCAAAGTGTTTAAAGGTGCATCATTTCTAATTGCATTTTTTTTTGAAATATGATGTTTGAGATTTGTAAAATTTTATTTTCGTAATTCCATTGCTAAGGGACTAGCAATGATTTAAGTTGGGGGGTGTGATAAGTCTTCATTATCATGAGTTAATAATTAGTAAATAATATAGTTTTAGCCTTAACTCATGATAAATAGACTTATATTTGTGTTAAAGTCTGATTTGTGGTTTTCAGTTGATTAATGTGAATTTTTGGGTAATTATGTGATTTTATATAATTTTTACAGTCTTACTTTTGAGATAAATAAAGAACAAAAAATAAAAATATTGTAAAAAGGGGGGACCCGCCAGCCAGCCGGGCCCGTAAGCAGGTTGGAAGTGTAGTCAGGGAGTAACTGTGAGCAGGGGCTCGAGCGGCTTGGCTTGGACTGATAGGGGCACGTGTGTGTCACTCCCCTTCCATGTCACCAGTGGCCAGCCAATTGTGGGGCAAGGAGTGGTCATACACGCGAGAGTAGTGGCTTTGCTTATAAAGTTAACATTATTATATATTCGCCCGAAAAGTTGGCGCACAACTGATGTGGGATTAAACCCGCGTCACACCTTCCTCAAAGGCGGGCGACCAGTGAGGGTTCGAATCCTTCCAAAGTCAAAATTCATATATTTTTATCTGATTATTGCGACTTTCCTACAAATCACCGATGAAGGATTAAGCAACAAGAATCGCTGGATCATCGGCAAAAATCTCGTTAATGCGATTCATAGAGCATTGCTACTAAAATTGTTGAACGATTCGCGATAAAAGGATCGCAATCCATCTAGTAAATCATCTCTGATAGATCAACGAACAAGTTGTTGTCGGGAAGAGGACGATCTGCCAAAAGACGAGTTGCTACCTCCTGAGAGCATACCAGATGCGATGAAGAGCCTCCTCTTGCTGTGCAGACCTGAGGATGAAGCTCCCTGACACACGCCTCACCTTCATCTAGCTCCTCTCTGTCGGGTGACAACCGCCGAAGAGCCGCAAAGTTGCCATTTTTCTACTCCACTGGGTGACAGCTGCCGAAGACGATTCAACGACTCACTTCATTGATCTCTAGACTTTGCGAGAAGATCTAGAGATTGCCTATGTCGTCTTTGTCCAAGGAGAGCCTTTGAGGCTGTGGACACTACACGGCGATCCTCTCGAACGCTCAAGATTCCGGTGCATCACCGACGCATTGCCGTCGCGATGTCGGAACTCTGCTTTCCTACTTTCAATTGACTTTACGCTTCATTTAGTGAAAATTTTTTGTGTTTTTAAGTTACCAAAATATACTTTGTTCAATTACGATTCTTCCGGCTTTTACAAATCTTAATTTGATTAATTAAATCATCTATAATCGCTTACACAAGAATTATCAGGTGGAACTCTATTTCAACCCAATTTGCATCCGTCGAGCATTGACGTCATCCTGACGTCCGCACCCTTATTTTCCTTTTTTTTGTGAATTTTAAATATATTTCCTTTTTATTTCCTAGTGTGAAATTCATAAAAAATCGTATTTATTGAGAAAAATTCTGAATAATTACTAGATGTTATATTACATCCCTATGATCGACCTAGGAAATTATCACTATTTTTGGAAGTTGTATTGAATTATAATTGATATATTTATTTAGAAATATTTCTAAATATCTAAAAATTCGTATTTTCTAGTTTTATAAATTTTATATTTACGTGATTTAATATACAATAGTTGAGTCACGTCACAAAGCATTGCTACTAAAATTGTTGAATGATTCACGTTAAAAAAATCGTAAATCCATGGAGTAAATTATCTTTGATTGATTGACAAACAAGCCGTCATCAGGAAGAGGACGATCCACTAGGAGACAAGTCGCCACCTCCTAAGAGCGTACTAGATGCGATGAAGAGCCTTTTCTTGCTGCATGAACCTGAGGATGAAGCTCCCTAACACGTGCCTCACCTCCATCCAGCTCCTTTCCATCGGGTGACAGTCGTCGAAGAGCCACAAAGTTGTTGTTTTTCTGCTTCATCGGGTGACAGCCACCAGAGACGATTCGATGACCCATTTCATTAATCTCTAGACTTCACAAGGAGATCTAGAGATTTCTCACATCGTCTTTGTCCAAGGAGAGCCTTCGAGGCCATGGACACTATATGACAATCCTCCCAAATGCTTAGGATTCTAGTGCATCATCGACGCATTGCCGTCGCAACGCAAGAACTCTATTTTCCTACTTTCAACTGCCTTTATGCTTCATTTAGTGATAATTTGTGTGATCTTAATTTACCAAAACATACTTTGTTCAATTACAATTCTTCTAGCTTTTACAGATCTTAATTTGATTAATTAAATCATTTGTAATTACTTACATAAGAATCACAAGGTAGAACTCTATTTCTACCTGATTTGTGTTTGTCGGATGCTGACATCATTCTAACGTCCACACCCTTATTTCCTTTTTTCGTGAATTTTAAATATATTTTATTTTCATTTCCTAGTATACAATTTATAGAAAATATTATGCTTTGAGAAAATTTCTAAATAATTACTCAATATTAAATTAAATCCTTGTGATCAACCTAGAAAATTACTAGTATTTGTGGAATTTTGATTAAATTATAATTGATATATTTGTTTAGAAATACTTCTAAATATCTAAAAATTAATATTTTCTACTTTTATAAATTTTAAATTTACGTGATTTACTACACAATGATTAAGTCACATTAGTACCACAGTACTAAGGACTTAAGTTCCCAATCAACACTAGTTTGTGACATGTCATGTGACCAAGCACATTTGATCTAGCATCTCCTGAAGTGCCACAATACTGAGAACTTAAGTTCTTGACATATCATCATTAGGGATATAAAGATAATAATTGATTATTATTTAGTAAAATAAACATTATTAATTATCTTTAAAACCTCGATGGCAATCGCAAATACAACAATCCGTTCTTCTCTTATTTTGTGCGATCGACTTCTCTCATGATTGACAAGTTCATTGTTTCCTCCCCCGACTACACTCAAGGCCTCCAGCAAGTAGTCAACTCATTCCTTTGACAAGTTTTTATTATCATGAGTTAATAATTAATAAATAATAAATTTTTAGCCTTAACCCATGATAAATAGATTTATATTTATCTTAAATTGTGAAAGTAATTTTTAGTTGATTAATGTGATTTTTTGGCTAATTAAGTGATTTTATGTAAATTTACATGGCTTTTATATTCTTATTTTTGAGATAAATAAATAAAAATAAAATAAAATAAGAATATAGAAAAAGGGGGGGACCTACTCACCAGTTGGGCCCAAAAGTGGGTTAGAAGCACAGTCGGGGTGGAGTCATGAGCAATTGCTCAAGAAGCTATGGATTGATGGGGGCACGTGTGCATCACTCCCCTTCCATGTGACTAGTGGCCAGTTGGGCATGGGACAAAGAGTGGTCATACACTCGTGAGAAAGGGACTCATTGATTCTCAAATCTCGTGTTACCATATATGCATCTCAACATTTGGGATATAACTAATGTGGGACTAAACTGGTGGTCACACCTTCCCCATAATGATTTTATGATTTTAATACCAAAAATATATTTTATTTATAACAACAAGATATCATGATGACATCACTATATAAGGGTATTCGAGAACTTATTTTCTCCCTCTCGTGTAGGCCGATGACTAGTGCGGGTTTGAATTCTATTAGAACCAAAACTCATATTTTTATTTGATTAAATCATGATTTTCTTGTAGATTACTCGTGAAGGATTAAGCCACTAGAATCACTTGATCATTGAAAAAAATCTTGTCAATACAATTTGTGAAGTATCCATACTAAAATTGTTAAATGATTCACGATAAAAAGATAATGAATCCATTGAGTAAATCATCTTCGATTGATTGACGAAGAAGTTGTCATTGGGAAGAGGATGATCTACTAAGAGATGGGTTGCCACATATTGAGAGTGTACTAGATACGATGAAGAGCCTCCTTTTGCTGCGTAAACTTGAGGATGAAACTCCTTGACATGCGTCCCACCTCCATCCAGCTCCTCTCTCTCGAGTGACAACCATTAGAGAGCTATAAAGTTGCTATTTTTTTTTCACTCTACCAAGTGATAGTTGTCGGAGATGATTCAACCAATCATTTCATTGATCTCTAGACTTTACAATAATATTTAGAGATTGGCTACATCGTCTTTTTCTAAAAAGAGCCTTTGAGGTAGTGGACACTACATGACAATTATTCCGAACACTCAAGATTCTAATGTATTACTGATGCACTATCGTCGTGATGTCGGAACTCTATCTTCCCTACTTTCAACTTAATTTTCACTTTATTTAGAGATAATTTGTGTGATTTAAAATTTTCAAACTACTCTTCATTCAATTACGAATCTTTTGGTTTTTATAGATCTTAATTTGACCCATTAAATTATTTATAATCATTTATATAAGAACTATTGATAACTCTTCATTATTATGAGTTAATAATTAGTAAATAATATAGTTTTAGCCTTAACTCATGATAAATAGACTTATATTTGTGTTAAATTATGAAAAGTAGTTTTTAGTTGATTAACATAATTTTTTGGGTAATTATGTGATTTTATATGATTTTATATAATTTTTACAATCTTACTTTTGAGATAAATGAAGAAAAAGAAATAGAAATAAAAATAGGACAAAATGGGAGAACTTGCTGGCCAATTGGGCCTACAAGCAGGCTAGAAGTGCAGTTGGGAAGTAGCCGCGAGCAGGGGCTCGAGCGGCTTGGACCGATAGGGGCACGTGTGTGCCATCCCCCTTCCACATCACCAGTGGCCAGCTGGTTGTGGGACAAGGAGTGGTTATACATACGTGAGAAAGGGACTTGATTGAAAATGTATTACTATATATTCACCAGAAATTTCAGCGCACAACTAATGTGGGACTAAACCCATGTCACACCTGCCCAGAAAGGGCAAGGGCAACCAATGTAGGTTTGAATCCTCTTAGAGCTAAAATTCATATTTTGTTTATTTGATTATTGTGACTTTCCTACAGATCACCGATGAAGGATTAAGCAACCAAAATTGCTACATCATCAGTAAAAATCTCGTCAACGTGATTCACAAAGCATTGTTATTAAAATTGCTGAACAATTCGTGATAAAAAGATTACAAATCTATCGAGTAACTCATCTCTAATTGATCGACGAACAAGTTGTTGTCAAGAAGAGGACGATCCGCTAGGAGATGAGTCACCACCTCCTAAGAGCGTACCAGATGCAATGAAGAGCCTCCTCTTGCTATGCAGACCTGAGGATGAAGCTCCCTAACACATTCCCCACCTCCTCTCCATCGGGTGACAGTCGTCAAAGAGCCACAAAGTCGTCATTTTTCTACTCTGCCAAGTGACAGCCCCCGGAGATGATTCAACAACCCATTTTATTGATCTCTAGACTTCAAAAAGAGATCTAGAGATTGCCCACGTCGTCTTTGTCTAAGGAGAGCCTTCAAGGCTGTGGACACTACATGACAATCCTTCAAAATGCTCAAGATTCTGGTGCATCACCAATGCATCACCGCCTCAACATCGGAACTCTATTTTCCTACTTTGAACTTAATTTTTGCTTCTTTTAGTGATAATTTGTTGATTTTAAATTTACCAAGATATACTCTATTTCATTATAATTCTTCTAGTTTTTACACATCATAATTTGATCAATTAAATCGTGTGTAATGACTTACGTAAGAATCGTCAGACAGAATTTTGTTTCTGTCTGATTCGCATTTGCCAAGCACTGACGTCATCTTGACGTTTGCACCCTTATTTCCTTTTCTGTGAATTTTAAATATATTTCATTTTCATTTCCTAGTATAAAATTCATATAAAATAGTATTTTTTGAGAAAAAATTTGAATAATTACTAGATATTATATTACATCTTTGTGATCAACCTAGAAAATTATTGCTCTTTTTGAAAGTTTTATTGAATTAGAATTGATATATTTGTTCAAAAATACTTCTAAATATCTAAAAAATCATATTTTCTAGTTTTATAAAGTTTAGATTCATGTGATTTAATATACAACAACTAAGTCACATCAATTTTCAAGTAAAACTTTATTTTCATCCAATTCTAGTTCGTCAAGTAAAGACATCATCATGATGTCTACACCCTTATTTTCTTTTTGTAAATTTAAATATATTTTATTTTTCTTTCTTAGTCTAAAATTTATTAAAAATCATATTCTTTGAGAAAAATTCTAAAAGATTACTTGATATTATATTACATCCTTATAATCAACTTGAGAAATGTCTACTATTTTTGAAATTTTTATTGAATTATAATTGATATATTTATTCAGAAATACTTCTAAATATTTGAAAATTAGTAGTTTCTAGTTTTATAATTTTTAAATTTACGTGATTTATTATACAACGACCAAGTCACATCACTATGAAAATGGGTTGACCATATTTCTCTCTTTTTTATTTTCATCTTATTTCTCTCTCTCCCTCTCTTGTGAGACCTCTTCTTCTCTCTCCAACTCTCATTAGATCTCTCTCTTTCTCTCCTTCTCTCTCGATCAATCTTCCTCTCTCTCCTTCTCTCTCCCTGTCTCTCTCTCCAACTCACGTGAGATTTCCTCCTCTCTCTTCTCTCTCTCGTGAGATCTCTCTCTCTCTCCATCTCACGTGATATTTCCTCCTCTCTCTTCTCTCTCTCGTGAGATCTCTCTCTCTCTCCATCTCACATGATATTTCCTCCTCTCTTCTTTCTCTTGTGAGATCTCTCTTTCTCCATCTCACATGAGATTTCCTCCTCTATCTTCTCTCTCTCTTTTCCTCCTTTTTCTCCACTTCCATTCCTTTATTCTTCTCACCTCATCCTTCCATTTTATTATTTTTATTAAATATTAATAAAATATTAAAATCACTTTATGTATCAACTAAATTAGTTTTCACTTTATTAATTAATCTTCCTATGTTAAACTTGAGACTTACTTCTATACTAATATTTTATTAAGTCTTAGTTATAAATACTATTAGATAATGTTCATTTAAATAGAATGACAAGTATACATTAACAAGCAATCATTAATGATGGAGGATCACATTTTACAAATCAACACTTTGGAATGACGTTAAAGAAGTATGGAGTCCATCACAAAGTGTCTACACCTTATCATCCACAAATAATGGACAAGCTGAAGTGAGCAATCGTGAAATTAAGAAGATACTTTAGAAGATCTTCAAGCCAAATGGCAAGGATTGGGCTGAGAGGTTGAATGACTCATTGTGGGCTTATAGAACTGCCTATGAGACACCCATAGGTATGTTATCATATCGTCTAATTTTTGGCAAACCTTGTCATTTGCCTATAGAGATAGAGCACAAGGCATACTAGGCAATTAAACAGCTCGACATGGACCTTACACAAGTGGAAAAGCCTTGAATGTTACAATTGAATGAGTTAGAAGAACTCCACAATGAAGCCTATGAGAGTTCGAAGATATACAAAGTCAAAACAAAAGCTTTTCATGACAAACACGTTGTTTGAAGGCAAATTCAGCCGAAACAAAAAGTTTGGCTTTACAATTCAAGACTATGCTTATTTCTAAGAAAGTTTAAATCTCGATGGATAGTTCCTTACATTGTAGTGGAGGCATATGATCATGGTGCAGTCTTGATTAAAGATCTCAAAGATGATCATACATTTAAGGTCAATGGTTATAGGCTTAAACCTTATTAGTAGCATATTGTTCATGAGTCTAAAGAGACTTAATTACAGGATCCATGAGTTCATTGGCATCTTGTTGAATAGGTTAAACTTAGCACTTGTTGGGAGGCAATTGATAAGTCTTCATTATCATGAGTTAATAATTAGTAAATAATATAGTTTTAGCCTTAACTCATGACAAATAGACTTAAATTTGTGTTAAAGTGTGAAAAGTGATTTTCAGTTGATTAATGTGAATTTTTAGGTAATTATGTGATTTTATATAAATTTATATGATTTTTACCATTTTACTTTTGAGATAAATGAAGAAAAGGAAATAAAAAATGCGCCCCAAGTGAGGATGAAGCTTCTTAACATGTGCCCCACCTCCATCTAGCTCTTCTCTATTGAGTGATAGTCGTCGGAGAGCTGCAAAGTTGTCATTTTTTCGCTCCACCAAGTAATAGCCACCGGAGACGATTCGATAACCCATTTTATTAATCTCTAGACTTCATAAGGAGATCTAGAGATTGTCCACATTATCTTTGTCCAAAAAGAGCCTTCGAGACTGTGGACACTACACAACGATCTTTCTGAATGCTCAAGATTTTGGTACATTGCTAATGCATCGCTACCGCGACGTCAGAATTCTATTTCCCTACTTTCAACTTAATTTTTACTTTATTTAATGATAATTTGTATGATTTAAATTTACCAAGATATACTTAATTCAATTATGATTCTTTTAGCTTTTACACATCTTAATTTGATCAATTAAATCGTTTGTAATCACTTACATAAGAATCATCGAGCGGAACTCTATTTTTACCTGATTTGCATTCGTTGGGTGCTGACATCATCTTGACGTCTAGACTCTTATTTTCTTTTTTGTAAATTTTAAATATATTTCATTTTCATTTCCTAGTATAAAATTTATAAAAAATAGTATATTTTGAAGAAAATTCTGAATAATTACCTGATATTATATTACATCCCTATGATTGACTTAAAAAATTACTGCTATTTTTATAAGTTTTATAGAATTATAATTGATATATTTGTTCAAAAATACTTCTAAATATCTGAAAATTTATATTTTCTTATTTTATACATTTTTAATTTACGTGATTTACTATACAACGACTAATTCATGTCAGCAACTCAATCATTTGAAATTATTATTTTTCTTTTCTAATTTAATGTTTCATTTATTTTTTTTGTTAAGGACCTAATATATAGAGCCTTCTACACAAGGAGTAGGAGTTCAAGAAGAAGAAGAAGAAGAAAAAGAAGAAGAAGAAGAAGATTGGCAGCAATTGTCTAAACTACATAATGAGTTTTTCCAAACCTATTATTCTCCATAATTT